AATGAGGCTTCACATATGTAGTTGATTACTCTTGTGCCTGTTTGCAGATTGCAACTGAAATAAGCAGTGATTCATTGTGAATGAAGTTTGAATTAATTAGAGAATCCCCGATCTGTGGTGGTCACCGTGTTTTCTTTAGACATTCGATGGTTTTGGAAAGATAATGGCTATTGGCACGTACAGTGGTGCAATAGACCCAATACCAGGTTTTTCCACTTTCTCAAGCAACCAACGCTGTGTCGCAACACCACAGAGTGTCGTAATACGGAGGAGCCCCAGGAATGTGGAGGGGATGTTTTTCATAATGCAGTTTCCATCTTTCAGTTATTAATTGCGATTTTCAGCATAAACAGAGATATATCTGGACCAAGGCTTGGCATGGCTTGGCTGCTTACACCTTATGTCTCAGCAAAGGAACAAACCCCAAGCCCCAGCCAGCTCCATGGGGCTGCAGGCTGTGGGGAGCAGAAGGTGTGTTTGGTGTCCTTGCAGAGAGACCCCATACACATCTATAGGGATGCTCAGGACCACAATTAAGCACAGGAAGGTCAACGACCTTAATTAAGTGTGATCAGAGCTCAGAGCCTGCCCATACATGCTCCTCCACGTAACATCAAGCAGATACATCCCCTTCTGGGAAAAGGAAAGCAGAAAACAAGGAAGGAACAGTTGTGCAGCTCAGTCTTCAGTTCCCCCATGCACCCGTAATAATCCTTGAAGCCGCTGTCTTGGTAATAATCTAGCAATTAAAAGAAAATATTAGTATTTAATTAAACTTGTCAATCAACCAGAAATGAGTTTTCCTTATCGAGAGGAGCTGGATTTGATTTTGCCACTTGGAATCGGAGGTTAAAGACTCTTGTAGAGCAAAAGTTTAATTAAGAAAGGAGATTTGGATTAACATGTGAAGCAGAGAGAGACTGAAAGGTCCTCGAAAATCATCTGAGTATGATTCACAGGAGGAGAGGAACCTAAATATGGGAACAGATTTTATTTTTGAAATAAAAGAAAAGCTATATGCTGCTAAAGCTCCTGGGAGAAGAGGCACAGGAGGGATTTTTGTGAGGCTGGGATGTCTCTATTCAATCCACTTTCCCGCACTTGATATTTAGTCATTTCAGATATTCAAAGTCTGGTCAGAAAGTGCATACGCTGAGGGGCATTAGCAAATCCTAGGGATTTGGATGCTTGACTTTCATAAATTTAGATAGCAGAGGAGCAAATTGCACTTTCAGAAGCTTTGAAAAAATCCACTTTTTGTCACTTTCTGGTTGTGCTGGTGACATAGAGGGTGCTGCCCACCTGCATCTCCTGCCTAAGCCCGCAGAGCCTTTGTCCTGCCCTGGCACATCTGTGCCAGGAACTGCTCTGAGTGTCTGGGACTGTCTCCTGATAAATCCCAACGGGCTAAACTCAATGCTCAGCCCTGTGAGTTTTTTTCAGCCGTGTTCCCAAGAGACATTAATTTTTATGGTATTGACTCCTGATCCCTGGATGATTCTTCATCCCAACTCAGGCATGTCTCCAAATGTTGGTGTCTCAGGGATTCGTAGTAAAAACACTCATGTTTTTATTTTCTTTTGGTTACTGGACAAAGGCGAGACTCTTTCCCTAGAGATGGATGTGTGGGTTCAACTGAAACTAAAAAACACCAGCAAGGCTCAGGCAGAAAGTGTTCAGCATGAAAATCAAAGTTTGGAAATCATAGAGATAATGAGCAAAATGCCCATGGAGATCAGCCCATGACAGTTTTCCCCTGATTGTTGCCTTTGGATCAGGCCCTCAGAAAGTAAGTTTGTGATGCGAAGAATTTCATTATTTCTCCAAACCAGAAGATCCCTAAAAATGAAGTCTTTGCTGAGAGCAGCTGCTTGGGCAGACTCCATTGTACAGGCTGCTGTCTGCTCTCTCAAGCCTAATTTAAGAATTCGTCCCCTTCCTGCTCCCCAATCACTAATTACAGTTGTAGATGAGGTACTGGAGAGGAGACAGGTTTGCTATGGGAACCTGCAGGAAAGAATCGGTGACTTTTAATCCTAAATGAAGTTTGAGAAAGGTTTGCTTTGTGCAGTTATAACTTTTTGGCATGCAAAAAAAGCCACTGAGGAATTTCCCTTACTAACAAGACAGCTTTTTCTGTTTGTTTGACTAATATGTGGAAGTTATCAAAGTAGAGTTAAATGAAGCCTTGACTCTCCACCCAAATCCCACCTGTATCTCTTCAAGTACTTTGGTATTTCATTACCTGTCTGCATAAGTACTGGTGAACAGACAGAAAAGGAGGATGAAATGATTTTCCTAGGATACATTGCTTGTGACAGCCATAATCTGCTTTAAACAGAGACATCCAGGTTCATCACCGGCCTCAGCCTTTGAGGAGAAGAGCTTTATTTGGCAAGGGAGGGCACCTGGGCAAATGCCAGGAACGAGGTATTTGGATAAATGATGGACAGCACTTAAAAGTTGTTTTTCTGTGTTGGAGTGAAGATCATTGATTTCCCTTTAAGCCACCACCAGAGTGTGTTGGGGCTCTTGGAAATTCAGTGAATTAGGCACCGATGGTCTGACACTGCACAGGACACGTTGGAGAGGTACGAGGTGTGATCCCCAGAAGTGCTCATGCAGATGAGGAAACGGGACCAAATGCTGGACATCTGGGAATATTCCACCTCTGGTGCTGCTCCAGTCAGCAACCCCCTTACAACACCATTTGTTTCAGGGGAAACAGGAAAATGTTAAAAATATACTCAGAGAAATCAGAATTCACGAGGCTGTGCTCTGCTCCGTGCATTAACTCAGAACAGCAGGAGTTGCCAGTAGGTAAAAGATAAAATAAATTGTATTAGAATAAAGACGGCCCAACCCAGCAATGAATTTATTTTTTTTAAAGTTTTATTCAGCTAAATAACTTCCTATCCAGTTTAGGGTAGTCTGTGCCTAATGTGCTTTGTGGCAATTTGAGCTTGGCTTTTGGACCAGCCTTTGTCCTGTGTCCCCACATGCATCAGACCTGGTGCAAAGAAATGCAGGATTACACCTGGGCTGGCTTTCAGCTCCAGCATTTAACCAGAAACAAGGCTGAAGGTAGGGAGATGTTGGCTGTGGGATGGTGATTCAGCTCACTGTGTAGACTAGAAAACAAATCTGCTGTCACTCCAAAATTCTTCCAACTGGGAGATGTTGAAATCTGTGTTGTGAATTCTTGGGTATTTCTACAGCCTGCCCAAAAATATAGCGTTCCATGGAGCAAACTGGCAAATATCACAAGGCAAACCAAAATTTCCTAAGAACTTACTGAGTGACCAATGTCAATGGAAAAGTACTTCACATGATGCCAGAGATATTTTGAGACAGAAATAAAGAAAAAGAAGAAAAAAAATCCCAACCTCCCAACCAAATAATTTCCGATCCACTTATAGTTCCTTAGTGCTTTCCTCTGAAAAATTACAGGAATCAAACCCAACAGATATAATTAAACCCATGTTTGTGAAATGGGAGAATGCTGCCAGAGCAGGTGGTGATAGATGTGTCACCCAGCACACTGAATAGCGTGAAGCTGGGCTGGAAGATTTCTGCTACGTTGAGGATTTGCTTTTAAAATTTCTTCTTGCAGCGTTCTTGGGCTCAGACATCCCAACTCAGGCATGTCTCCAAATGTTGGTGTCTCAGGGATTCGTAGTAAAAACACTCATGTTTTTATTTTCTTTTGGTTACTGGACAAAGGCGAGACTCTTTCCCTAAAGATGGCTGCATGGGTTCAACTGAAACTAAAAAACACCAGCAAGGCTCAGGCAGAAAGTGTTCAGCATGAAAATCAAAGTTTGGAAATCATAGAGATAATGAGCAAAATGCCCATGGAGATCAGCCCATGACAGTTTTCCCCTGATTGTTGCCTTTGGATCAGGCCCTCAGAAAGTAAGTTTGTGATGCGAAGAATTTCATTATTTCTCCAAACCAGAAGATCCCTAAAAATGAAGTCTTTGCTGAGAGCAGCTGCTTGGGCAGACTCCATTGTACAGGCTGCTGTCTGCTCTCTCAAGCCTAATTTAAGAATTCGTCCCCTTCCTGCTCCCCAATCACTAATTACAGTTGTAGATGAGGTACTGGAGAGGAGACAGGTTTGCTATGGGAACCTGCAGGAAAGAATCGGTGACTTTTAATCCTAAATGAAGTTTGAGAAAGGTTTGCTTTGTGCAGTTATAACTTCTTGGCATGCAAAAAAAACCACTGAGGAATTTCCCTTACTAACAAGACAGCTTTTTCTGTTTGTTTGACTAATACGTGGAAGTTATCAAAGTAGAGTTAAATGAAGCCTTGACTCTCCACCCAAATCCCACCTGTATCTCTTCAAGTACTTTGGTATTTCATTACTTGTCTGCGTAAGTACGGGTGAACAGACAGAAAAGGAGGATGAAATGATTTTCCTAGGATACATTGCTTGTGACAGCCATAATCTGCTTTAAACAGAGACATCCAGGTTCATCACCGGCCTCAGCCTTTGAGGAGAAGAGCTTTATTTGGCAAGGGAGGGCACCTGGGCAAATGCCAGGAACGAGGTATTTGGATAAATGATGGACAGCACTTAAAAGTTGTTTTTCTGTGTTGGAGTGAAGATCATTGATTTCCCTTTAAGCCACCACCAGAGTGTGTTGGGGCTCTTGGAAATTCAGTGAATTAGGCACCGATGGTCTGACACTGCACAGGACACGTTGGAGAGGTACGAGGTGTGATCCCCAGAAGTGCTCATGCAGATGAGGAAACGGGACCAAATGCTGGACATCTGGGAATATTCCACCTCTGGTGCTGCTCCAGTCAGCAACCCCCTTACAACACCATTTGTTTCAGGGGAAACAGGAAAATGTTAAAAATATACTCAGAGAAATCAGAATTCACGAGGCTGTGCTCTGCTCCGTGCATTAACTCAGAACAGCAGGAGTTGCCAGTAGGTAAAAGATAAAATAAATTGTATTAGAATAAAGACGGCCCAACCCAGCAATGAATTTATTTTTTTTAAAGTTTTATTCAGCTAAATAACTTCCTATCCAGTTTAGGGTAGTCTGTGCCTAATGTGCTTTGTGGCAATTTGAGCTTGGCTTTTGGACCAGCCTTTGTCCTGTGTCCCCACATGCATCAGACCTGGTGCAAAGAAATGCAGGATTACACCTGGGCTGGCTTTCAGCTCCAGCATTTAACCAGAAACAAGGCTGAAGGTAGGGAGATGTTGGCTGTGGGATGGTGATTCAGCTCACTGTGTAGACTAGAAAACAAATCTGCTGTCACTCCAAAATTCTTCCAACTGGGAGATGTTGAAATCTGTGTTGTGAATTCTTGGGTATTTCTACAGCCTGCCCAAAAATATAGCGTTCCATGGAGCAAACTGGCAAATATCACAAGGCAAACCAAAATTTCCTAAGAACTTACTGAGTGACCAATGTCAATGGAAAAGTACTTCACATGATGCCAGAGATATTTTGAGACAGAAATAAAGAAAAAGAAGAAAAAAAATCCCAACCTCCCAACCAAATAATTTCCGATCCACTTATAGTTCCTTAGTGCTTTCCTCTGAAAAATTACAGGAATCAAACCCAACAGATATAATTAAACCCATGTTTGTGAAATGGGAGAATGCTGCCAGAGCAGGTGGTGATAGATGTGTCACCCAGCACACTGAATAGCGTGAAGCTGGGCTGGAAGATTTCTGCTACGTTGAGGATTTGCTTTTAAAATTTCTTCTTGCAGCGTTCTTGGGCTCAGACATTGGTTTCTCCATTGAGTGAATTGCTAAAAAAAGATAATCTTGTTTCCTCCTTATCTGTCTGCTTCAACCTGTTTCTGGATATTTGTAAATCATCACCTGTGATCAGTACAAAATTTGCCCATCGAAAAGCTAAATGAAATATTCAGCTACGCTCCCTTTGTGGCCACTTGGACGTTCAGCCCCCCTTCCTCTTAGTAAACGTTGCTTCTTCATACGCAAAGTCTGGAAGTTAATCCCATGGCCGAGACCAGCCATTAGTCTGGAGGCACGTACAGACTTTCCTTCTTGAGTCACAAGTTGTTTTTCTTCGATAACTATTTTAGATGCATCTGTGTTTGCTCTAGGACCCAGATCAGAGCTTCAGCAGACACTGGGGCTTATCCTGAGGTCTTCCATGTGTTGTTTTCATTAGCATCCTGGTCGTATCCTGGAGAAAAAAAATATCCAGTGTTGGAAATAGCATGTGGCCAACATGATCATACATTTGTATTATACAACCCAGCAGCGGGGTTCCCCTTTTCTGGGAATTCTTTGTTCTGGAAAAGTAGCGCTAAGGCGGTGACATTGATTTATGTCACCAATAGAAACCAAACACTCATCGCAACATTTCACAAACAGAGAAGAGCTCCAAGGGCCTTGGTATGGAGGTGACTAATGCTGCTGTCCCCGAGCCCCTCAGCTCCCTCCTGCTGTGATGGGGAATGAAGGGAATGAAGAAGCCTGGACACGCTGTGCTCCACTCTATGGGGCTGGGTACCAGGTTGTCCTACCTGTGAGTCTCCCTTTTGAACATGTCTTTGCATGAAGTGACTCAAGATGTTCTTAGGAAGTAGAGGAACACAGCAGAGCAACAGATGTGGAGTTTTGAAATCAAATAATTTATTGGGGTGATGGAACTCGATGATCTTTAAGGTCCTTTCCAACTCTGACCATTCTATGATTCTATGAAAAAAAAATATTTCCCTGCCTGCAGCCTGGGAAAGTAAACTGGGGGGCATACACTTACTGTGTTCCTGCAGTCTGGTCTCTGTGATCCTTAGATTTGCAGTGTTGGCTACAGCTGACCACAGGCTCCCAGCGTAGTTAAACCTTCAGTCTGGCCCACTGGAGCCTTTCTTACATTTTTACATTAATCCATTTGTCTTCCTGCCATGATGAGAAATAGTTTCCTCATCCTTATTTTCCTTTTCCTGGCTATTCAGCCCTCAGCGCCCTGCTCTTTTTATTCCTCTGTTAGTCCCTATTTTCTTTACCTATGTGATGGGACTGATGCAAGACTTTTGATGTTTTCACTTCCTACCATCTATCCCAATCCACATGCCTGGGGAAAAAAAACATTAGCAAATCCAATCTATCCCAATCCACATGCCTGGGGAAAAAAATGTTAGCAAATCCAACGTGTCTGGACACAGATTGCAGCAGATGGCTCTGCACCACAAGAGAGGATCATCTCAAAGTTCACATCCCGGTCCAGGAGGCTCCTTCCCAACTTACTGCTTGGGTATTAATGCACCACGTACAGACACCGAGCCCTACCTAATTTGATCAAGATGTGGTGTCTGCATCGGGCGTCTCTGAGAACACCACATGTGTTCACTTCATCTAAGATAGTCACATCTTAACTTATAATAGCTGGGATCAAAATACTCTAGGTGATCACAGAGCAGCAAGGAGAAGCTGTTTACTGGTGGGTTTCCGTTCCCTCGTCTGTTGTGTGGCCAGGTCTGACATCCGTGCTCCCCAGAGCCTCGGCTCCACAGATGGAAGGGGCGGGCAGGGCTGGCTGCATCCCGGCATCTCCCACATCAAAGCCCTGCACACATCTGCGGGGGGACAGGGGGGTCAGCACAGCCTCCCCACCACCACCACCTCAGCCAAGGTGTGAGCTCCATCTGCCACCACGGAAGGCAACCGCAAGCCCAGCCACACACCTCCGGCATCAGGAAGATATTCTTGAGATGAAAAACATAAGAATTTAGTAACCGGTGTCCAGAATGCAGAGAAGCACCTTTCCTCTGTCGGGACTTAACATTTCAACTTATTTTTTGAGACTTGAAATTCATGGAAGAATTTTACTTCAACCACAATGGTAGAAGAAGAGCACCTAAACAATCCATTTTGTTTGCTACCCTTGTGCTGATGTGGAGGTCAAGGAAGAGTCACAACGTCACCTAACTCGCTGGATGGTGTGACTTCCGCCGCTATAATCAGTATCATATAAAGCTGGAAGTGGATATAAGCTGTTAACAATGCCGAGGTAGGAAATCCGTGGATCATAACTGACTCTATTAAACATTTTATTTGTGGTTCAGATGTCACATGGAAGAGCACAGAGCCTTGAAATGAGATCCAGACCATCTGATGACACCAGTTTACACACCACTGGTACTACTGCTGGAACCACGCTGATTTGCACCAACGGGGAAGATGGCATTCATGGATGTGGTTGCAGGAAAGGAAAATAGCTCTTGCAGGAGATGCATATTCAGCATTTCTGGTGAGAACAGTGTGAAAAGAACACATTTCTTCTCGCACGCCAGCCTGAAAAGAGCTAAGTGGCTTTTGTAAGATGCTCACGGTGAAGCCTGCAGAGAGAAAATCAACAGAGGAAAATCATGACCCACTAAAGGCAAACGGATAGCAAAAGGAAGGTGTACTTGAGCAATGTGAACCCTTTCACAGCTAATGGGAACGGCAGTGTTGCACACTTACGTGCCAGAGGCTTTTCTTCACTTCTGAAGCAGCAAAAAGATAGTTTTAGCATTCTCTGACGCTAATTGAAAATGCATTACTGGCTAAAAGCAACATCAGCTCTTAGTCTTGAGAAATTCCCTCTGCCACAAACATAATTGTAATAAAAACTGAAACACTGAAATAAATGTTAGAACATTTAAAAATCATAAAGCCTTCCCTGTTTCCACTTCTCTTCTGTAATAAATTAAAAGCATGACAAATTTCACCCGAAGACACAAACATTAAGAAACCATTTGGCAAATGACTTTTTTCAAGCCTGGCATCTCTAGCCTGGGGAGAGCTTTGGAAAGGTCACAGGAATTTGTCCCATGAATGGCCTCTCTTCTAGCCCAAGGGGGTAAATCTGTGGAACTGGGGCACCACGATGCTGGCCTGAGGAGGACGAGGTGCCAGCTTGTAGGGAACTTGCCTGTTCTTTGCCACCTTCTGGCTATCATCATGTGCAGACGTATCTTTGCTCAAGGAGGCACCTGAGCATGTGTGTAAGTCTCATTTCAAAGGAGTGTAAGTCCTTTCCTAGAGATGCTTTCCTGAACGGCAGCCAGAAGCGATGACATAAGTTGTTGCACTGACTTGGGAAGAGACATGAGCACACCATGAGCTCCAGGAAGCCTGATACTGCCAGCAAGTCTGGACCCTCAGGCTCTTGTGCTTTGAGGATGGACAGACTCTGCCCAGCAGGTCAGGAGGAGGCAGCAGGTTTCTCCCGCTGCTTTCTCGGCGTACAACCCACGGATCACAGCATCAGGCTTGGCACGTGTCCCTTCAGCAGGAGAAATGGGGATATGCAGCACAGGCACAATGTTCAAAGCTCACATTTGGCGTGCTACGTGCAGATCATGGAGCTCATCTTTAGGTGACTGAGTTTATAAAAATCCTTTGTCTCCGTGCGTACAATAATTTCTTCTGAGAAGCAGAAGGTCCCCCTTGTTTCACCCCGTATGCTCTGTGTCACAGGGACCTGTGCAGCTCCTGCATCTCTGTGCCTCTAAATTGTTTATCTCTCACAATAAATGAGTGATATAGACATTTTTATTCCGTGCGTACAATAATTTCTTCTGAGAAGCAGAAGGTCCCCCTTGTTTCACCCCGTATGCTCTGTGTCACAGGGACCTGTGCAGCTCCTGCATCTCTGTGCCTCTAAATTGTTTCTCTCTCACAATAAATAAGTGATATAGACATTTTTATCTCTACTTCTTACAGCTGCCGAGCTGAATATCCAAGAGGGGCTTGATCATGCAAGATCAAGGAGGAAGCCTGTAGCAGGGCAAGAACTCAAATGCCCAGCCCTAAGACATCGCTCATCACCCCCTTCTTGTTGCTGGCTCTTTGTTGTCGTTGCCAGACGTTAAAATGCTGCTGTGTTCCTACCCTATTCAGACTTGGTGTTTCTCAGTTAGAGTCCTAAAGGCATGTGGAGTTCCCTGTGTTAAGTGAATTTTTTATGGGCAAAGTATTAAGAAAAAGTAGTATGTGTCCAGCCGCTAAATAGAATATTATATGCCTATAAAGAAAAAGAATGGCCATTTCAAAGAAGCATTACCACACTTTGTATCATCCATAAAAACACACATTCTCCATGGAACGAGGGTGGAACCATAATCCCCCTGCGAGTGACAAGTGTGGCCTTCCCATGGCATGCAAACATGGGCCCAAGTTTCCTAAAAGCCATCTGTTTTGCCATTTATGACTTAATGTGAGCTAGAAAAAAAATGTTGCAACAAGCTGTTTTCATCCCTGCGGACGGTGCCTTGCCCTACCACATGCCTTGGGAGGACAACCCCTGCGAGGCTGAGGCTGGCAGCAGGAGATGGCACCAGGGCTGCCAGAGGTGGGCACCAAGCACAGCAAGGTGGAAAACTTTCCTGTGACCACCAAGCTTTGGGACTCTCTCATTTCCCTCCCAGGCAGGAGCTGTAAGTCTCAGCATGTCCCACTGGGTGTAAGACACTGAAACCTTCTCCCCAGCAGCCAAGGTACGGGGTGATCCAGATGCAACATGGACTTCGTACCCTCATTGCTTAGCAGGACCTCCCTTGTTGCCTAAACAGAAGAACAAAACCAAGAAAAAACAGTGAGTTTTCATCTGGGCAGAAAACTTCTGGTCCCTGTGGCAGGCAGAAGGGAAGTGTCACCGTCCCACGAGGCATTGCAGAAAACAGGTACTGCCTTTCAGCCCCCAAGATGCCTCTTATTTTCTGGTTGAACAAGGTGGAATCAAGCGTCTGTGCAACTGAAGAGTGAAATGACATTTGAGCAAAGCTGATTTTATACCCATTCACACTAAAGAAAGGATTTAAGTCCAGCCAAGGTCATTTTCTGGCTCTCTAACAGCACTGATTTCCACTCGGGGAGAACAAATACATCTTTGCTTAGGTAAGAAGGATCACAGCTCAGTCTTTTCTTGAGCGACTTTGCCGCAAATTAGCCAGAGGGAGAGAGCTAAAGCTTGCGATGGAAATAACTCTCATCAAGAACAAGTGCTTGAGGGGCTTAGAAATGTGATTTTATTAACTTTCTGTCAACGTTCAGCGCAGGATAAATGTCCGTTTAAGAGCATTAGCGGTGCATTCCCTCAGAAGGGACATCTGCAGGACCTCACCCTTCCCAATCTTCTCCCCGGCTGCTCACGTCGCTTTGAGAAAGTGAAAGAATGAGCAGTTGGAAGGGCTTTGAAAGGATGGAAGTGGAGGCAACGTGCACAGAGCCTGTCAGAGGCTGCGTTTCAGCTCCTCTGGCACGGAGTCTGCGGCAGCCGATGCTCGGAGCCAGGAGGGGACCGGCAGTCGGGGGTAGGGAGGGCTGTGAAACGTCCCAGCCATTAGCAGGAACCCAGAATTTCAAATTTGCGGCAGCCGATGCTCGGAGCCAGGAGGGGACCGGCAGTGGGGGGCATTGGGGGCTGTGAAACATCCCAGCCATGAGCAGGTACCCAGAATTTCAAATTGTTTGCTCTGTAAAGGAGGTGAATCTCTTCCTCGGACCCTCAGCTCCTGTGAAGGCAGCAGTCTTGTTTGTACACCGGGTACAAACGGCAGCGTCCCCGAAACGGGAGTGCAGGTTTCTCGGACCCTCAGCTCCTGTGAAGGCAGCAGCCTTGTTTGTACAGCGGGGCTGCAGCATCCCCAAAACAGGTATGCAGGTTTTGGCACAGCATGGCTCAGAGACAGCTCCCACCTGCCGTAACAAGAGCCAGGTGTGATGAAAACATGGTTTTAACAGACGAAGCTGTGCTGAAGCTCACTGAGAGTCCTTCTGGTAGACAGGGAGAGTCTGTTCATTCGTTATGCGTTTAGTTGATTCGTTTCCTGGCTGAAGATAAATCAAGATGGGACCTGAACCCCTCCTGAGGCTTCTGGGTGCTGAGACTGATCTCAGCGTTCAGGATTGTCAGCTTGAAGACCGTGACATCAGCCTGTAAAATTTAAATTTAATTAATGATTAATGCTCCCCGTTCAGGCCAGGCAAGAAGGCATAATGGTGCTCCAGGGGAAAGGGTGAAAGGTTGTCTCCTTGCAGCATCTTCTGAAACGAGTTCTGGAAGACAACACTGAAGCACCCAATGGCCTCCCATCCCACCACCAGTTGTGTCAGGAGAGGTCTTCTCTTGGCACCGACTCCATAGCCCCATCTCCTCTCAGCAGCTGAGGGTTTGTTTTCCATCTAGGAAATCCATCTTTGCTAAATTCCCAGAGCGTCCAGCAGGCAACAATGAGGATTGCTGGTTCCTAATGCCAGAGCACAGAGAAATATGAAAAAAAGGCTGTGTCAAGCCACGAAATCTTTTAAGATGCCTTCAGAGATTGCAAAAAAGTAGAGCAGGAGAAGCGTGTGTCCCTGAGCCCACTGTGATGGGAGCATGGGGCTGTGGGGAGAGGTCCTGTCTGTCCTTGCACAGCAATCACAGCGCAGAAGGGAGGGAGGACTGTAACCCCCCAAATCCCCTCCAGCCCTGGTAAAACACCCCTCTTTTGAAACATATTTCTGACATTCACACCCCTTCATCTGTTTATTTTTAACAGCTAACATTTTCTGAACTTAAATGTCTTCTCAGCTGCATTCCCAGAGTTTAATTCATTCTGGTCCCCTAACCATTCTTTTATGCTTATAGCATATATTTTGAATTAGCTAAATTAGATTTCACTTTGTTGTCAGTGACTGTCAGTTACGATGCTTTTGACTTCCAGTGGCAAAATGTATTCAGGTTCGAGAGGCAGCAGAGTAAGCCGATGTTTGAAGCATGAATTAGACTTTTAATAGACAAAAAAATGCTAGGAAGATGGGACTTATAAATGACTTTAGACATGCAGCCATAATTATTACATGCATTTGATTTCTCTATACATATAGAGGGATTTTTAGGAGGCTGGTTGCTATGGTAACTTCTTTACCGCATGGTCCATGTGTTGCTTCTGAAATTCTCCTTCCTAATGGAAAATTACACCCATGGACACGGATGGTATTTGTAAATCTCCCAAAAAAGCAACAATTTTCCTTTTCTTCCCAAATGTCATCAGCTGTGCAATGGAAGCCTTTGAAGTTTGATTCTCCCCCTTGTCAGTTCACCAAGCAAGAGACGTGAACTGCATCCAAACTCTTCCCTGCCCCGAAACCTTTCCCTTGCCTTGCTGGAAGCCTGCCTTACAGTAACTGCCCTGGTGTTTTCATGGGATGAGGTCCGAAAAAGTTGTGTCAAAAACTAGCTCTCTCTGCAGGTGTCAGCAGAGAGTGTAGGGAAGTTGACAGGAGAGAAGAGCTTGGAAGCCCGTCCTGATGTGAACTCAGTTCTCCAGATGTGAGCGCATTTGGGTTTTTGGTCCGTAAATCAAAC